ATCGAATTTTCAACTTTCCCCATTTTTTCTGTTCCGTAACACTGTCCCCAAAGGATTATAATTCCAATAACCCACCTAAAAGGGTGTGTGCAGTGTTTTCCTTAGACTACTGCCAAAATAGCTTAGATTACCCGAGCTTACGACATGATTTCAGGCTAAATGTTATCGGCTTCAACACCAAGTCAGTTTTCGGTTGCAAAAACACGTATGGGCAATATAGGGTGGTGCTGCTGCTTCTCTATCTGCTTTTCGTTCAATTTTAAAAGTGTGTTAGTAATTCTAGAGTTTGTTGAAGAAAAAAGAAATTCTCTCCTGTTTTGGCTCAGCTGCAACCCATGTTGCCACATTACCCAGAGACTTCCGTTGTTGTCTACGTTTCTCTCTTCTTCTCGTCGTTTTTTCTTGGTAATTGTAAACGGTAAAAAATTGAAATAACTCTAATACACACACACGAGCACACATACACACACGGAATTTTTTTTCGGCCTAACCCATTGGAGTAATGTAGTGCCGACTCCTTGGCTAAACAGAAGGTAACGACTATGTAAAAATTGCCAACCGCAACAGCAAATGTGTTGTTGTTGTTGTTCCTGCAGATTGGGTTCTTGTGGCACGTTGTAGTTGTTGTTCCAAAGTGCATGTAGTGCAGTAATTTTAACAACTTCCGGCACGGAAGCATAAATTGCCATAAATGTTTTAAATGTGTGTATGTACAGTTTTTTCGGGGAGTTGTTTTTCGCTACTTTAGATTTTTGGAAAGTAAGTTTTATTTTCAGTGAGATTTGAAAGGGTCTGTACGGAAAGTAAACAGGGGAGGTTCAAATGGGGAAAAATGTAAATTAGTTGTGAATGATCGAAATTTAAAGCATGATTTTAGGCGTTATGGGAATTGGGTTCTATAGCCAAATTGCGACTGGTATTTCAGTGATAAGTAGTGTAGCTAGAGATTTGGTTTCTTTGGAGGCCAATAATGAAATTTTATGAGGAATATTTTTTCCCTTAACTCCGTTCCCCTAAAATGAAGTTTTGAGGGAGATATCGATAAGATTCTAAAATTACCCAAAAACATAAAATATTTTTGAAAAACTTCAAAGTGATCCTGATATAATCGGGCGATTGCTTCGAGATACATATTTGATTTGTTTGAAGACCCTTAGGGAAATTTGATGGAGAATATTTTTTCGATTGACCACTTTCTCCTAACATGAAGTCTTGGGGGAGATTTTGGCACCATTTCTATAAATTCCAAATGCGTCAAAATATATGAAATATTTTTGGGAAACTTCAAAGTGATCCTGATATAACCGGATGATATCTTCGATATACACATTTGATTTGTTTGCAGACCCATAGTGAAATTTGATGGAGAATATTTTTTCCATTGACCCGTTTCTCCTAACATGAAGGTTTGATGGAAATTTTGACACAATTTCAAAAAATTGCAAATAAATCAAAATATAAAAAATATTGTTGGAAAACTTCAAAGTGATCTTGATATAATCGGCTGATAACTTGGAGATACATATTTGATTTATTTGAAGACCCATGATGAAATTTGATGAAGAATATTTTTTCCATTGACCCCCATTCCCTAAAATGAAGTTTTCGGGGGAGATTTTGGCATAAATTCGAAAAATTGCAAATAAACCAACACATGCAAAATATTTTTGTGAAACTTCAAAGTGGTCCTGATATAACCGGATGATATCTTCGATTTACATATTTGATTTGTCTGAAAACCCATAGTGAAATTTGATGGAGAATATTTTTTCCATTGACTCCCTTTCTCCTAACATGAAGTTTTGAGGGAAATTTTGCCACAATTTCGAAAAATTGCAAATAAATCAAAATATAAAAAATATTTTTGTGAAACTTCATATTCATATTTACATATTTGATTTGTTTGCAGACCCATAGTAAAATTTGATTGAGAATATTTCTTTCCCCCCCATTCCCCTATTCCCTAAAATGAAGTTTTGAGGGAGATTTTGGCACAATTTCGATAAATTCCATATAAACCAAAATATATACTTTTTTTTGGGAAACCTCAAAGTTATCCCGACAAAATCGGGATATATGTTCAAGATATGTACATAGCATGTTTGGAGACATGCAGTAAAATTTGATGGAGAGTATTTTTCTCTTTTCCATCAACCCTCTATAAAGAAAGCTTGTTGGAGATAGTGACCCGAGTCGGACATGCAGCAAAATTTATATTTTTTAGGCAATATCCAAATTATCCCTCATATTTGCCTGATATGTATAATAGCTACCGATTTTGCTTGTTTAGTGACTTATAGTGAAATTCGATGGAGAACATTTTTTCCATCGACACCGTTTTCCTAAAATGAAGTTTTTGATACAATTTCGATAAATTCCAAATAAACCAACACATTCAAAATATTTTTGGGAAACTTCAAAGTGATCTTAATATAATCGGGTGATATCTTCGAGATACATATTTGATTTGTGTGAAGACCCATTGAGAAATTTGATGGAGAATATTTTTTCCATTGAGCCCCTTTCTCAAAAATGAAGCTTTGGGGGAGATTTTAACCGAATTCAAAAACCTTGGCGGTAAATACCATAATATAAAAATCTTTTCATACTGCTATTTTTTTATTAAATTTTCCCTGATTAGTATCATAGCTACACACTCGATCTGTTCGGTGACCCATAGTGAAATTTGATGATGAATATTTCCGTCTTTGGTACCCCTCCCCTAACTTGCTGTTTTATGGGCGATTTTTGCATTTCATTCAAAACCTTGGCGTTGAATACAATAATATTTGATTTTTTTTTGTTTCTAATATTGCATTAGTTTTTCCCCGATATGTGTCTTAGCTATACACTTGGTCTGTTTGGTGACCTAAATTGAAATTTGATGGTGAATTTTTTTCTCCTTAGAACCCCTCCTCTAACTTGCTGTTTTATGGGAGATTTTGGCATTTAATTCAAAACCTAAGGGTTGAATACATTAATATTTGATTTTTTTTTCATACTGCCAGTTTTGCTTTAGTTTTTCCATCATATGTGTTATAGCTACCCATTTGGTCTGTTCGGCGATTTTTAGGGAAATTTGGTGAGGAACATTTTCCCCTTTGACACCCATCCCCGAACTTGTTGTTTTATGGAAGATTTTGGCATTTCATTCAAAACCTTGACGTTAAAAACTATAATATTAGATTTTTTTCTTACTGCCAAATTAGCATTAGTTTTTCCCCGATATCTGTCATAGCTATACACTTAGTCTGTTCGGTGAGCTATAGTGAAATTTCATGATGAACATTTTCCCCTTTGACGCCCATCCCCGAACTGGTTGTTTTATGGGAGATTTTTACATTTCATTCAAAACCTTGGCGTTGAATGCGATAACATTAGATTTATTTCATTCTGTCAATTTGTATACATTTTTCCCTGATATGTATCATAGCTACACATTCGGCGACTTTTAGTGAAATTTTGTGAGGAATATTTTTCCCTTTGGCAACCCTCCCCTAACTTGCTGTTTTATGGGAGATTTTTGCATTTCATTCAAAACCTTGACGTTGAATACCATAATATTAGAATTTTTTCATATTGCCAATTTTCTATTCATTTTTCCCTGATATGCATCATAGGTATACACTCGATCTGTTCGGTTACCTATAGTGAAATTTGATGATGAACATTTTGCCCTTTCACACCGATCCCCTAACTTGTTGTTTTATGGGAGATTTTGGCATTTCATTCCAAACCTTGGCGTTGAATACCAAAATATTATATTTTTTTCTTATTGCCAATTTTGCATTATTTTTTCCCCGATATGTGTCAGAGCCATACACTCGGTCTGTTTGATGACCTATAGTGATATTTTAGGATATACATTTTCCCCTTTAGCACCTCTCCCCTAACTTGCTGTTTTATGGGCGATTTGTGCATTTCATTCAATACCTTGGCGTTGAATACCATAATATTATAATGTTTTTCTTATTGCCAATTTTGCATTAGCTTTTCCCCGATATGTGTCATAGCTACACATTCGGTCTGTTCGGCGATTTTTAGTGAAATTTGGTGAGGAATATTTTTTATTTTGGCAATCCTCCACTAACTTGCTGTTTTATGGGAGATTTTTGCATTTCATTCAAAACCTTGACGTTAGAAACTATAATATTAGATTTTTTTCTTACTGCCAATTTTCTATTCATTTTTCCCTGATTTGTATCATAACTATACACTCAGTCTGTTCGGTGACCTATAGTGAAATTTGATGATGAATATTTTCCCCTTTGGCACCCTTCCCCTAACTTGTTGTTTTATGGGAGATTTTGGCATTTCATTCAAAACCTTGGCGTTAAATACTAAAACTTTTATTTTTTTTTTCTTTCTGGCAATTTTCTTTAGTTTTTCCCCGGTATGTGTCGTAGCTATACACTCGGTCTGTTCGGTGACCTATAGTGAAATTTTATGATGACCATTTTCCTCTTTGACATCTCTCCTCTATCTTGTTGTTTTATGGGAGATTTTTACATTTCATTCAAATCCTTGTCGTTGAATAACATAATATTAGAATTTTTTCATACTGCCAATTTTGCAATAGTTTTTCCCCGATATCTGTCATAGCAATACACTCGGTCTTTTCGTTGACCTATTGTGAAATTTGATGATGAACATTTTCCCTTTCGGTACCCTTCCCCTACCAGGGTGTTTTATGGGAGATTTTTGCATTTTATTTCACCACTTCGCGTTTAAAATCATATATTAAACTATTTTCGAAAAGAGGACCAAGAGGACCCCAAATATGAGCCCCTAGAGGGTTAAGATGTTCAACAAAATTAAATTTCATTTTGTTATCTGCAATAATGCCAAACATATCGTTCACCTTAAATAAAAGGATAACCGGGTTATACTGCAAATTCAAAATGTCTATAACTTAAAATGTTCGGAAAATTAAATTTTAACTTTTTTTTATTTAATATTATTTTTAAAAATTTTCTTTTGGGGTTTTCCTTAACACTCACCTTGGTGTTGTTAGGCAGGCGAAGGCTTTTATTGGTGTCTGAAACCTGCAATAATACAAAAAAGACCAGAAAAGAAAGAAGACAAAAATACAAATAGGTATGGCTATTTTCAAAATAATTTTTTTTGTAATAAATATTTTTTAATTAAATATTTAATGTTATTTTATTTTTAATTTTTTTTTAATGTATTATTTTACATTACAGAAACTACAAAACTACTCAAAAACTTAATTTTTTTTTTTCTAAAAAAGTAAATAAATATTGAAATTGCTTTAAAGGATACCCTTGATATTAGATTACACCACCACTAGTCAGGATTTATTTCGTTTTTGTTCTGCCACCAAAAAAAAGAAACCATAGTAACGTCCCTCTAGACATGGCCATAAGGTATGGACAAGGAAAGTTTTCTTTTTTTTGTGAGTGGAAATAAAAAACATGAAAAACCATCAACAACAACAAAATCCCAATGCCAACGTGAATGCAGTGTAAATGAAATATGGCGCCAAAGAAAACCTTAACCAAAAGCCCTAGAGTTTGAAACTTATTCGCTTTAACTACTCACTTTGGCAATGGTGGTGGTCGAGGTGGTGGTGGTGAAAAAAAATTAAACGTTAACATTTTAGTAGCAATTGCAGTTGTTTTTGTTTTATAACAAAAAAAAAAAAAAAAAAAAAAGACTGAGAGAAAAAAATGCAATTTTCCGTTGCATAAAAATTGAAGAGCGAATTCAGGGAAAAAAAGGGGAATTTCATTGAATGTAACCAACAACTCAACAGCTTGGGAAGTGGATTTTAAACGTTGTTTTTTATTTCATAAGAGAATATTTTTTACTGTTGAAAGTGAAATAAATAAAAAAAGCATTAAGTTCGGCCGGGCCGAACTTTGAATACCCTCCACCATTTGGAATGAATTTGGAAATTTTCAAAAAATAAAATCCTTAAAAAATTGTGTTTAAATTTCAAAAAATACCGAATACAGCCCTTTTATTGGGGTCTATACGACATGGAGCTATACGGGCATTGTTTGTCATAAGCCATCACCATATTCAAATTTGAAAACTTGAAATAAACGGTGAAAAATGTAGCTAAAATCATCAAAATATGGAGGTACCGTTATATCGGAGCTGTGCGAAGACGTGGACCTGCACAGACAATTTTCTGTCATAGGCTGTAGTATTCATTACGAATTTCAAATACCAGATTTGAAACAATTCCGGTTAATAATGTCACTAAAATCATCAACATACCGAATATCGGAAGGTAACGTTATATGGGGGCTATAAGAAGACGTGGACCTGTACAGACAATTTTCTGTCACAGGCTGTAGTATCCACTTCGAACTTCAAATACCAAATTTGAAACAATTCCGGTTAATAATGTCGCTAAAATCATCAAAATACCGAATATAGGGAGGTACCGTTATATGGGGGCTATATGAAGACGTGGACCTGCACAGACAATTTCCTGTCATAGGCTGTAGTATTCATTACGAACTTCAAATACCAAATTTGAAACAATTCCGGTGACTAATGTCGCATAAATCATCAAAATACCGAATATCGAGAGGTACCGTTATATGGGGGCTATACGAAGACCGTGACCTGCAAAGACAATTTTCTGTCTTAAGATGTAGTATCCATTAGGAATTCTAAATACGTAATATGAAACAATTCCGGTGAATAATGTCGCTAAAATCATTAAAATACCGAATATCGGAAGGTAACGTTATATGGGGGCTATACGAAGACGAGGAGCTGCACCGACAATTTTCGGTCTTAGGCTGTAGTATCCGTTTTGAATTTCAAATACCAAATTTGAAACAATTCCGGTGAATAATGTCGCTAAAATCAATAAAATATCGAATATCGAGAGGTACTTTTATGTGGGGGCTATATGAAGACGTGAACCTGCACAGACAATTTTCTGTCTTAGGATATAGTATCCCTTTGGAACTTCAAATATTAAATTTGAAACAATTCCGGTGAATAATGTCGCTAAAATCATTAAAATACCGAATATCGGAAGGTACTGATATATGGGAACTATACGAAGACGTGGAGCTACAAGGCCCATTTACGAACTTAGCCTGTCTACTGGAAAAATAAACATGTGTGCATAATGTTAGACTTCTATCTCAATTCGTTCGAAAGATAGCGTGATTACAACAGATAGACGGGCAGACAGACAGACGGACATCGACTTAGAATTTTACGCTGATCAAGAATATATATACTTTGTTGGGTCTGACGTGACCCTCCTCGTTAGACCGTCCTCCATAGTATGGTGGAGGGTATAAAAACATGGCATACTTTTAGGAAACGTTTTTTAAAAAGAGATATAGTGCATACTTTTAGGGGTTATTTTTTCTAGGATTTTTTTAAAATATACTTTTTCGTTAAAGAATATTGTTTCAAACATATTTTTAGGAAAAATATGTATATGAAATATGGTGCATACTTTAAGGAGATTTTTTGGAGGCGTGAACTCATATTTGACTGATATATATAATTGAACAAAATGTTTCCCTGATATATATCATATCTACCAATTTTTCTTAGTTGGTGACTTATATTAAAATTCGATGAGGAATATTTTTTCCTTTGACACCCTAGCCCTACATTGACGTTTTTTTTAGGAGATATAGGCTCTACTTCAATATATGGGAATTTAAAATTTAAACACACATAAAACTCTGTAATAGACACCCTACATCTGACCGTTATTTTATCGATACATATCATAGCTACGAATTTCGTTTGTTCGGTGACCTATAGTGAAATTCGATGGGGAATATTTTCCCCCTTGACTTCACTTTCCTATAATGAAGTTTTAGGGGAGAAATTGACCTATTTTGAAAATGTGGAAAATAAATGCCAAAAAAAGAGAATTTAGTTATTTTTTTATTTTTCCTGATATATATCATAGCTAGCAATATTTCTTATTTGGTGACTTAAAGTAAAATTTTATGGGGAATATTTTTTCCTTTGACACCCTAGCCGTACATTAAAGTTTTTTACGAGATATAGACTCTACTTCAATGTGTGGGAATTTAAAATTTAAACACACATAAAATTCTGGTATTGACACCCTACATCTGACCCTTATTTTATTGATATATATCATAGCTACGAATTTCATTTGTTCGGTGACTCATGGTGAAATTCGATGGAGAATATTTTCCCCTTTGACTTCCCTTTCCTATAATGAAGTTTTAGGGGAGAATTTGACCTATTTTGAAAAGGTGGGAAATAAATGACAATAAAAAGAAAATTTAGTTAATTTTTATTTTCTCTGATATTTATCATAGCTTCCAATTTTTCTTATTTGGTGACTTATAGTAAAATTCGATGAGGAATATCTTTTCCTTTGACACCCTTGCCCTACATTGAAGTTTTTTAGGAGATATAGGCTCTACTTCAATATGTTGGAATTTTAAATTTAAACACACATAAAATTCTGTAATAGATACCCTACATCTGGCCGTTATTTTATCGGTATATATCATACCTACGAATTTCGTTTGTTCGGTGGCCTATAGTGAAATTCGATGGGGAATATTTTCCCCCTTGACTTCCCTTTCCCATAATGAAATTTTAGGGGAGAAATTGACCTATTTTGAAAATGTGGAAAATAAATGCCAAAAAAAGAGAATTTAGTTATTTTTTTTATTTTTCCTGATATATATCATAGCTAGCAATATTTCTTATTTGGTGACTTAAAGTAAAATTTTATGGGGAATATTTTTTCCTTTGACACCCTAGCCCTTCATTGCAGTTTTTTTAGGAGATATAGGCTCTACTACAATATGTGGGAATTTAAAACACATAAAGTTCTGGTATATACACCCCACATCTGACCGTTATTTTATCGATATATATCATAGCTACGAATTTCGTTTGTTCGGTGGCCTATAGTAAAATTCGATGGGGAATATTTTCCCCTTTGACTTCCCTTTCCTATAATGAAATTTTAGGGGAGAAATTGACCGATTTTGAAAAAAAAAAATTTAGTTATTTTTTTATTTTTCCTGATATATATCATAGCTAGCAATATTTCTTATTTGGTGTATTGGTGTATTCTTGTATAGACACCCTACATCTGACGATATTTTATCGATATATATCATAGCTACGAATTTCGTTTGTTCGGTGACTTATGGTGAAATTCGATGGGGAATATTTTTCCCTTTGACTTCCCTTTCCTATAATGAAGTTTTAGGGGAGAGATTGACCTATTTTGAAAATGTGGGAAATAAATGGCAAAAAAAGAAAATTTAGTTATTTTTTTTGATATTTTTAATAATTTTTCTAAAAAGTTTTCTATGTTCTAAAAGAGTATAATTTTTTTAAAAAAAAATTATGGAGAGGGTCAGCAGAACGTATAAAATTTTTCAGGTATTTTCAAGCAATTTCAATATTTTTTTTTTCATATTTTCATAATTATAAATTAAATAATTGTCACTTTGTTTTTCGTTTAAATTTTTTTTTTATAAATTCAAACTAAATAATTACTATTCTCTCTCTCTCTCTCTATGACACCTGCAACCATTACAAATTTTTAATTATTTACGTAACAACAAAATTATAACACTTCATTTTCATAATTAATTACGAACAAACAATGTTATGGCAAACAATACAACTAACTATGGACGATGGAACTAAAACCACAACAACAACACTATTAAATAAACAATAGTTTTTCAATTAAAAATTTTATATTTACAGTATAGCAACAACAAAAAACAAATATATATAACAAAAATATCAAGAACAACAACAATGGTCCCCATAACCAAATTATGAATGAATGCCACAACAAAGGTGAGGTTAGGAAATGGATGGGTGGGTGGGCATACAAAAAATTAATGATTTACTATTTTTTCTTAAATTAATTGATTTACTAGCCGAGTAAAACACAAAGTAGCCATTAATGGTGATAAATATTTAATAATTATTTCCAATATTATAATTAAGTAATTTAATATTATGAACTAATAATTAAAGTTTAATTGTAGCGAATTGACCTGTAATTAAAAAAAAATGA